AAAAGAAAAGAAAAACAAAGAAGGACATGGTGACCAATTAAATATGAAAGAACAAAAAACTGCCAGAGTTTTTCTTCACACCTAATTGGTCGCCAAGTCCTGTGAATTTTAAAATGTCTCATACTCTATTCCCTTTTTTCTGACTCTGATGTAGTTAAACCCTTATCTTCAAACAGACATATTTTCAAAATAGCCTTCTTGAGGATTTCTTGTCTCCAATGTCTCTTCATCTTTCACATTATAATTATCTTCTATAACAATATGATCACCTCATTACTGCACACAAAAAACTGACATGTTCCCATTTATAGCATTTGGTTGAATTTACTGATTTTAACTAGAGTTACAGACTCAACCACATCACTCTTATTTTATAAACCCTTCACAGTTCCCTCTTCAACTAGCTTGGCTGATTTTACACTTTTTGCTAGCTTTAACTCATGTTTTAGTAATCAATCAGCAGGGATTTATTGACTGTTGTACATTGTACTAGGTTTATAATACTTGCCCTATCCTCACAGATCTTAAACTCTAGTTGGACACTGTAAGACCAATAATCTTTTAGAAACTGCTACATTGTTGAGGACTTAATTGTTCTGTGACTATTGTGTGATTGGAAATCAAAGAAAGGAGATAACAAAAAATTAAGGAAAGACCTCAAGGAGGAGGTGGAATTTTAGCTTCAAGTTGAGAGGTAGGCAACACACAGAATGATAGGAAAGGGATTTAATAATTATAGAGGAATCTGACAAAAATGAAAGTGTCAGGAGAGCTATGAGAAAAGCCAGTAGGGGGCGCCTGGGTGGCTCAGTCGTTAAGCATCTGCCTTAGGCTCTGGTCACGATCCCAGGGTCCTGGGATCAAGTCCCACATCGGGCTCTCTGCTCAGCGGGAAGCCTGCTTCTCCCTCTCCCACTCTCCCGCTTGTGTTCCCTCTCTCGAAGTCTCTCTCTCTGTCAAATAAATAAATAAAATCTTTTTTAAAAAAAGGAAAAGCCAGTGGGGAGGGAATTAACAGGGGAACTGTAAAGATGCAGGACACTAGTAATGGGGAACAATGAGATAACAACCTTGGCTAAGGAAGGTGTATTTCATTATAGAATGTCTTGGAAGCCAGCCAGAAGCATTTAAATTTGACTATATAAACACCAATTAATGAAAAGGGAAGAGATGGCATAAGAAGATTATCTTTTTTTTTGAGATTTTATTTATTTATTGGTCAGAGAGAGAGAGCACATGCACAAGCAGCGGGAGAGGCAGGCAGAAAGAGAAGCAGGCTCCCCGCTGAGCAAGGAGCCCCATGTGGGGCTCGATCCCTGGACCCTGGGATCATGACCTGAGCAGAAAGCAGCCGCTTAACCGACTGAGCCACCCAAGCATCCCAAGATTATCCTAGTATACATATTCAGGCATATGAAAGAGAGAGACAGGCAAACAGACATTTGGAAAGAAATTATAGGGCTTAAAGAGACTACAGTTAAAGAGAAGAAATTGTCAAAGAAGAGTACATAGTTTCAAAGGCCTTGAAACTATGAAAATGGAGATATCACTAGAATAAACAGGATGTGAAATGAAGAAGGTTTGAGAATGGGGAGGAGATGGTTTTGGATATGTTAGACTTAAGCATCTCCAAGTGGAGCTATCCTGAGTCTATTCTATAGTGTAATACCTGGATGAAGCCAAGAAACCAGGGTGAAATAAATAGGTACAGTGATCTATCAATGCCTTATACCCATTTAGTCTTTAAAACCATGTATTATTAATTTTGAGCTTCAAAATCCAGGAAGGTAGAAGAGCAGAAATTAACATCTTCACTTCACAAATTATTATTTATTTATTTTTTATTTATTTATTGAGAGAGATAGTGATAGAGAGAGAGCATGAGAGGGGGAGAGTCAGAGGGAGAGGCAGACTCCCCGCTGAGCAGGGAGCCGGATGCGGGACTCGATCCAGGGACTCCAGGATCATGACCTGAGCCGAAGGCAGTCGCTTAAACAACTGAGCCACCCAGGCGCCCCTTCACTTCACAAATTAATGTTAATAATTCATGTGACTTGCCCAAAGTCAAAAAAAGTTGTTAGCAGCAGAGCCAAGAAAATTCTAGTTTCTTACTCTTGCCATTATACTCCTGGCTTTCAAGAAGCAAGCAAAATTCAAGGCTCTTCTTCCAAAAAGAGCCGTCAGCATAGAAGCAACAAATGAGGCTATGAGAATGTATAATTCTTTGAGGGCAGAGGAAGAGAAAAAGAAAGGATTTCTTGCAGATAGATAGAATTAATTAAAATGTGGAAGGAAGAGAACTCAGCAAGAGACACCACCAAGTTGACAAGAGTACTCAAGAGAGTAGGGAAAAAATCAAAACCAGGAAAGTGCAGAGTTAGGAAAGCCAAAAATGGAGTAAGTACTCAGTGATCTTAAATGCCAAAGTTGGAAGAAGGTGATTTGGCATGGAGGTAACACATGTGATGGTTGAATTTTTTTTTTTCTTTCAAAAATTTAACTTGAGATATTGGGGGAAAAAATCCTTCAATGTTTACTATCAACATCTATCTGTTATACTATGCACTTTATATTTCATACATTAAACTTCTACTTCACAAGTTATATTAACATAAATGAGTGTGGAATGTTTTTCTTTTCTTTTCTTTTCTTTTTTTTTTTTAAAGATTTTATTTATTTATTCATTAGAGACAGAGAGAGGCAGAGGGAGAAGCAGGCTCCCAAGGAGCAGGGAGCCTGACGCGGGACTCGATCCCAGGACCCTGAGATCATGACCTGAGCCGAAGGCAAACGCTTAACCATCTGAGCCACCCAGGCGCCCTGGAATGTTTTTCAATCTTGAAAAATTATAAAGTCTAAAAAAAAAAAGCTCAAATATATTTCAACATAACCTGATCAGTTTTTTCACTTTATATTTGGCAAAAAATATTTTCAGCTTTATCTTCTCCATATTTGAGGGGCTTTTGAAAAACATAAATAATAGTTTGCTTTTTGCTGTGATCTATTTTACTAAATCAAAGTCCCAGTAAAGGAAAAGAATGAGGGCTATAAAAAAGAAAAACTAAAAAAAAAAAAAAAAAGGAAAACTATACATACACTCCAAGTAAAATTACAGATGAAGTAACTTACTAAGTTTTTATAATAACTGTTAATAGAAATAATATGGTAAATGTCTTGATCCTATACACACCTCTGTCTTAAGTGGAAGCTACCATGGAAAGAAGAGTGAGCTACTTTATCCTTGTTTTAACATGACAAACATATTTTCAACTTTATAACTAAAATTAACTTTCATTAGTGATATTTTTAGAATGCAGCACCATCTTTGCACTGATCAAGTTTAGAAAGGTCCTTGGAAATTATATTTATCTTAAAGTTTTAAAAAAATTAATATGACATTTAATTAAAAATTTAAAAGACACAGAGCCAACTATACAACTTGCTACTGACCTTGTTCAAGTCTGAAGAGGGTCTTTTCCAGCTTTTCCATTTCGTTCAGAAGTAAAATTCTAATCTGTTTACTGTGTCCCATTTTGGCTTCTAGAAGACTTGAAATCTTTCAGAAGAATTAAAAGAACTCCGAAATCGAATGAGTTACCCCTATGAAACAAAAAGGAATTAAGATAAAGAAAATAACTATTACCTTAAATTCTTTAAGGCTGACAGCCGCACTTACATGTTCTAAATGTGTTTTAACCCTAGCAGAGCAAAGAGAATGAATTTTATAAGACCTGAGAAGGCAAATTAATAGTTTCCTCCCTTCGAGCACAATAGGACCAAAGCAAAAACTATTGTGTTACAGATTCTTAAAATTAAAACAAAAAACAAAACTAAATTATTCTCAGAGAAAAGCAATACGTTTTGGAAAGCCTGGATTTGGGCCGGGGGGAAATTTCCCGGTCCCAAGCCAAAAGGCTTTGAAGACTACAAATGGCACTTCTGCTTACAAGAGATTAGTCTGCTCAAAGATAACAGGTGGGAGAGCTCCCCATTCCCAAATTCGGGTTGGAAGCCACCAATGGGGAGATGAGAACAGAGGGAAGCAGATGTCGCCCCTGGAATAGCTGCTGCAGACACAGGATGGACAGACCGAGCTATAGATAGAACACATTTCCCAGAGAGGCCAGCGGCATTCCTAGCACTTACACTGAGCAAGTTATACGTGCGGCTTCTGGGACACTGCAGGACCCGCGACTCCGGGGTTGGAGTCGGGGGAGGAGACGTGAGGGAAAGCAAAAGGGGAAAGGCAGGCTGCCCGGGCGCAAAAGGCAGCCCCCGACGAGGAGGGCCGGGCGCCGTGAAGGGCAAAGGGCGGGGCGGCCGCAGCGGGGCCAGGGCCGAGGCCGCCGTGCGAACGGCAGAAAGCTTCTCCGTGACTCCGCCTCGCGCTGCTCCCCGAGGAGACCCTCGACCCCACCTGGCCTCGAGTGCACACGCCAGGGTGGAGCTGTCAGGTCCCCTCGCCCACTTCCGGGCGGCTCTGCGCCGGCTCGCCGCGTCCGCTAGTCTCGCGAGACTGTGGTCAGCGGGGCCGGGGTCGGGAGGCGGTAGCGGCCGAAGCTGCGAGCTGCTTGTTTTTCTCGCTGCTGTGGAGGTGCGAGGTCCCGGTTGTGCACCTGCTTTATCAGCCCGTGAGCTCCTGTTTGCACATTAAAATGTTGCGGTAGAAGGCTGCCACTAAGTTGAGCTGCACAACAGGGTCGTTTTGCGGAACAGCTGAATGGTGGGAGGCAAGCGACCTGGCTTCTAGTGCTTCTTCTACCACGAAGTGTTTTGTGTCTTTGTTTTGATTTTTTTTTAATTTAAAATATCTATTTATTGTTATATATATATATATATATATTTTAAATTTTATTTATTTATTTGAGAGAGAGAGAGAGAGCACATGAGGGGGGAGGGTCAGAGGACGAAGCAGACTCCCTGCCGAGCAGGGAGCCCGATGCGGGACTCGATCCCGGGACTCCAGGATCATGACCTGAGCCGAAGGCAGTCGCTTAACCGACTGAGCCACCCAGGCACCCTATTGTTATATTTTTTTATGTGACCTAAGTTTGTGGCCCCAGTTCTCTGAATCTTGATTTCCCCATGTCTAAAATAAGGGGCCTGTGTACAATCTCTGACATTCCATCCATGTGTCTACCAACTCTAGTCCTAACACAGGGCGCATCTTGAATGCAGAGATGGAACTACTAGGTAGGTGAAGTGTGGCCAGTTTACAAACAATTGAGGGTGCAAATACCACTTGTACAACGTGGTTGTATCTCATGTACACTGCATAGACCTGAAGGTTGTATGGGGTTAAGGATAAGGAGGGCACCTGTGGAGATGAGCACTGGGTGTTATACTCAACTAATGAATCGTTGAACACTACATCCAAAACAAATGATGTACTATATGCTGGCTAATTGAACATAATTAAAAAAATAAGACAGAAGAGCACTTGTTATACAATATGGGCTCAATAAATATAACTACAATTCCTTAAAAAAAAAAAAAAAAGGATCTACAGACCTGTACCCCTGAAACAAGTAATATATGTTTTTTAAAAAAAGGATTTATACTGGCTATCGCTGTACATATTTTAGGCCAGAAATTTAGGATGTGGTACAGATGCCTATGGAGATTTAATGCCTGGGGAAAAGAAAACCCCTCTTGTAGAGCACTTTGAGGACACCTAAGGATCATGAGAAAACGGACAAAAGATTTGGAGTGTGGAGAAAAATCTTGCTTCCCTTATTGTGGAAATACTGTAGGTCCAAAAACAATAATGGTTTAAAAACTGAAGATCCTGAAATGTTTGTTTCAGATTTCTGAGAATGGCTAGTTGCAAGTGGTCCAAAACTGAGTTTGGGAATATGTAGTTCACTTATTCATTCAACTAGTATTTTTTGAGCACCTAGGATTTGCCAGGCATGGAAGTGAAACAAATTCACTGCCCTCATGGAACTCCTACATTTTATTTGTGGGAGACAGATAAACAAATTAAGTAAGTAAATTATATAAGATAATGAAAGGTTGTAAGAATAAAAAGAAGTGGGAAGTGGAAGTGTGGAAGAGTCAGGAGAGGGATGTTTGCAATTGTAAATACAATAGTCAGTGAAGGACTTGGTGGTAAATTGACATTTGATCCCAATCAGAGTAAGAGGAAGGAGGATATCCAGGGTAGAGGGTTACACACAGAGGTACAGAAGTGGAAAGGCCATGAGGTCTAGGAGCATATTTGGTGGATTCAAGGAGGCCACCAAAGCTGAGAAGAGAGTGGTAAGAAATTAGGACAGATAATGGAGTGGGCTTGGCAGCCAGATCTTATAAGGCTTTGTAGGCTATGGCAAGGATTTGGGCTTTTAATCAGGGCAAAAGAAACATTGGAGGATTTTGAACACAGGAGTGACATAATCTGGTAGACCTTCTAAAAGGATTACTCTGCAACTTTATAGTTGAGACATGCTAGAAGTGTAAAATAGCTAAATAAGCTGGAGGGTGTGGTGACGAAGGAAGCAAGATCAGTTATTTCAGTTAACCAAGAGATACTGGTGTGTGTGTGTGTGAGAGAGAGAGAGAGAGAGAGAGAGAGAGAGAGAAAGAAAAGAAGGTATAGTAGTAAAGGTGGTAAGAAGTTTTGAATTATGGATCTATTTTGAAAGTAGAGCTTATACTGATGGATAGAAAGGAGTCATGGATGATTCTAAGATTTTTAGCTTGAGCAATCAGAAGATTACTGTCCAATAGAAATACATGAAAAAAAAAAAAGAAAAGAAATATGTGCCACATAGGTAAAAAAATCTTTTTTTTTTTTTTAAAGATTTTATTTATTTATTTGACAGAGAGACACAGCGAGAGAGGGAACACAAGCAGTGGGAGCAGGAGAGGGAGAAGCAGGTTTCCTGCCCAGCAGGGAGCCCGATGTGGGGCTCGATCCCAGAACCCTGGGATCATGACCTGAGCTGAAGGTAGACGCTTAACGACTGAGCCACCCAGGCGCCCCGGTAAAAAAAAAATCTTTCAAGTAGCATCAAAAAAGTAAAAAGAAACAGGTGAAATTAATTTTAAAGATTTTATTTATTTATTTGACAGAAAGAGACATAGCAAGAGAAGAAACACAAGCAAGGGGAATGAGAGAGGGAGAAGCAGGCTTCCTGCTGAGCAGGGCGCCCCATGCGCAGCTTGATCCCAGGCCCCTGGGATCATGACCTGAGCTGAAGGCACCCCAGGTGAAATTAATTTTAATAATATATTTGATTTAACTCAGTATATCTTAAACATTATTTAAACATGCAATCAATATAAAATGTTACTGAGATATTTTAGGTTCTTTTTTCCTGCTAAGTCTTCAAAATTTGGTGTGTATTTTACACTTCAGCATGTCTCAATTATGATAGATACATTTCAAGCACTCCATAGCTTTGTGGCTAGTGGCTAGTGGCTACCATTTGGACAGTGCAGAAGAAGCTACCATTTAATGAGAGAGGAAGAAAAGGGAAGGAACAGAATTGGAGGATGAAATTCAGGAGTTTGGTTGTAGACTATCAGTAACCAAGTGAAGATAACTATTCATTTGTTTGACATGACTGTCAAATAGCCAAGTGGAGATACTGAATGATCACTCGTAGCCCTGGTCTCTACAGTAGTGTTTTTCAAATTGTAAGTCATAACCCATTGAGGGTTGTAAAAGTAATTTGTTAGTTGCAACCAATGATTTTTATTTTTTTTTTTAAAGATTTTTATTTATTATTTGTCAGAGAGAGTGCGTGGCAACGCAAGCCCAAGCAGGGGGAGCGGCGGGCAGAGGGAGAAGCAGGCTCCCTGCTGAGCAAGGAGCCCGATGACGGGACTCGATCCCAGGACCCTGGGATCACAACCTGAGCCAAAGGCAGACGCTTAACCGACTGATCCACCCAGGCACTCCAGCCAAAGGCAGACACTTAACCGACTGAGCTACCCAGGCGTCCCTGCAACCAACGATTTTTAAAATAAAATAGGAAAGAGCTGAATGCACTGTACGTGGTAAGACTATTATTTCTAAAAACTTCTGTTTCTATTATTTTTTGTTGTACTGGGTCATGTAATCCTCCAAGGGGTCATGGTCAAACATGTTTGAGAGCCACTGCTCTAGGGTGTATGCTGTAGAAAAGCATAATAATTCATGATTATGAAATGTGCCTGGTTTTCAACCCAGCTCTGCCCCTAACTCGCTGTGAAGCTTTGGAAAATACTCAACCTTTTTGTGCTTTGGTTTTTACCAAATAGGGATAAACATAGAAGCTACTATTAATTTCTTTTATTCTTTTTTTGAGATTTTATTTATTCATTTGACAGAGAGAGAGAGAGGGAACACAAGCAGGGGGAGTGGGAGAGGGAGAGGGAGAAGCAGGCCTCCTGCAGAGCAGAGAGCCCGATGTGGGGCTCGATCCCAGGATCCTGGGATCATGACCTGAGCCGAAGGCCGACTCTTAACAACTGAGCCACCCAGGTGCCCCTAGAAGCTACTATTAATTGAATGGGGTCTTAGAACTGTGCCTGAGACGTACTAAGTACTGTGGAAGTACAAATATTAGAGTGGGACCCTAACTGATGTGAAACACAGTTCATGTTCATGTTTGTCTTCAGGCTCTCCTACCCATACCCCCTTCCACTTTCAGTCTATCCTATGACCCTCTCATTGCACTGCCCTCCTGTTCATCACTCTTCTCCAGGGCTCCAAAATTAGCCTTTCTTGCTGTCCCTCCGCCAGCAAAACTGTCACGTTAGTGCCCAATATTTTAGCTAGAAATAAGGAGTAAAACAGACTGACGAAATGAATTCCTTTAGTGGGGAATTATTCTTATACAAATGCTTGAATTTTAAAAGATCTGTCAATCCAAATGATCTTAATTTTGGAAATTTCATATTGTGAAAGGAAGTGAGGAATGTTAAGTAATGAAAACACCACGATTCAATGTGACGTGTCTCCAAGATGACATTTACAAGCCACATAGTGCCCTTTTTAAAAAAGTCACACTAGTGTGCTATTTGTGACGTTCTTGGAATGCCAGTGAATTTGCTGTCTAGGGCTACAGTGGTGCCATGTGCTGTCTTCATTTTGGCAAACATTTGTCATGAGCCTGTCCTGTGCATAACAGTGATCTATATATACACAATAATCTCATGCTGGAGTTGTCAGGAGAAGAATCTCCTTGAGGAACATCTGATGGATAATCTCAGCTATTTGGCAGTGACTCTAGGGTTTTCTAAAACATTGATATTAATGTATTTGGGGAGTGGGAGAAGGGCTATAGTCAGAAGGGTCAGAAAACACTACAGTGTTTCTTAAGGTCTGTGTATGTGTGTGTCTGTTTTTGGAAAGGAAAGGAGTTATTTGGGGTATTATGTATAGTTCATAGTCCCAATCCTGTGATAATTTGGGTCTGAAGTGGACAAGTCTGCCTCATTTAGTTTTTATATCCATCAGCATTTTTGGTGTATTTTATTTTGTAGCAATAATATACTGATATTGTTAATAATATTATTTTGTAAAATTTGGAATTGTGTTTCCAAAATCTCTTCTAAATTGAACAATTTATTCTGCACTTTTTTGAAATACCCAGATTTAGCCAGTGAAGAGAAGGGGAGATAGGAAAGGAAATAGAGTTGACGTCAGACAAGTAGAAGGACCTAATATAATGACAGAGATATGGAAACCAGAGAGAGATTTTTTGAAAAGGGGTCGTACAATATAAAGAAAACGGACTTTGGAAACAAACCAGAGATTAGTTTTATTCTCTCTGAATTACAGTTGATTCATCTGTAAAATGAAGAGAATAACACTTCACTTGGAGGATCATTATGAAGATTAGATGAAATAATGAAAGCATTTATCAAAAATCAGGCTTTTTAATAAGTGATAGTTTAAAAAGAGAAGGGCTGATGGCTAGTTGTCTTTGCTGGGTGAGGATGGCAGTTAGACAAAGCAGATGAAGAAGAGGCTCCCAGAGCATGGGAATCAAAAGACATAATCAAAAGGTATCTTACTCAGTGAAGAGGGAGTATAAAAGTGAGTTCATAGAGTGAAGTCAGAGCCCAAGGTTTTAGCCTAAATTATAGAAAACAGAGGAAGGACGTTAAGAATGAAGTAAGGTTTAGTTGCTGTGCAATTAATATTTGTTAGAAAAATTATAGAGATGCACATATATAGAGGCAAAGATAGTTGTATTTTATTTATTTTTATTATTTATTTACTTTTTTAAAGTGATTACATACAACTCTTTTTTTTTTTTTAAAGATTTTATTTATTTATCAGAGAGAGAGAGCACAAGTGGGGGAGTGGCAGGCAGAGGGAGAAGCAGGCTCTCCACTGAGCAAGGAGCCTGATGCGGGACTCAATCCCAGGACCCCGGGATCGTGACCTGAGCCTGAGGCAGACACTTAACCAATTGAGCCACAACTGAGCCCTGATGTTTTTATTAAAAAACAAAAAAATAACCGTCAAAACTTGGGCTCTTAGAGCTTGCATAGGAAAAGTCATTTAAAAAGTCTTAAGCATCAGGGTGCCTGGGTGACTCAGTTGGTTAAGTGTCTCCCTTTGGTTCAGGACATGATTCCAGGGTCCTGGGATGGAGCCTAGCATGGGCCTCCGTGCTCAGTGGGGGGGTCTGCTTCCCCCCCTTCCCTCTGCCCCTCCCCTCGCTCGCTCTCTCTGTCTCTCAAATAAATAAATAAGTCTTTTAAAAAAGTCCTAAGCATTGATATAACAAATAAACCAAAAACAGTGTATGGAATGCTTGGAAACCATGATAGGAAGAAACTCGAGATGGTTTTTTAATGGTGATATTTTCTTTTTTCTAACGATAGGTCTTATAAAATGTTCTTTGGCCCCAAATTTAAAGCTAAATCATTTTACCCTTGCAAATAAATTTAACTTCCTTTTGAAATCCTGACTCCAGAGTTTCCCTGTAGAAAGGTTTAGAGTTGGCAGTCTGGTTGGGGAGAAAGGACAAGAGAAGGAGGGCTTGAGCTGATTTTCTATATTTGTAAGGACTACTTCAGCTGCATATGACAAAACAAAACAAAACAAAACAAAACAAAGCAACAGTGGCTTAAACAAGAGATAAATTTGTTTATCACATAAAACTTTAGAGGTGAGCAATTCAAAGCTGGTGTGGCAGCTCTGTAAAGTCATCAGGAAGCCAGGCTCTCTCCAGCTCACAGCTTCCTCCCTCTTATTATGTGGACCTTGTCATAGTACAAGAAGGCTACCAGAGCTCCAGCTATCATATCCAAGTTCGGGCAACATGATGGAGGAAGAGGAAAAGAAGGATGCACCTCCTCCCTTTAAGTATTCCTGGAAATACCAGACAGCATATCTGTTTCTATCTCATTCACCAAAACTTGGTCAGCTGCATCTAGGCAGCGGTGAGACTAGTCCAAACCCAGGTTTTGTTATTAAGGAAAGAGAGAATGAATAAGTAGTGTCTGTTACAGTTTGCATGTACTTTTTTATTTTAATTGTTTTCAAAGCGATACAGTTTGGAGCAGGAGGATGGAAGGTTCAGGGGGAATATCTCCAAGAAAAAAAATGGGGAGGGGGCACCTGGCTGGCTCAGTTGGTAGAGTGTGTAACCCTTGATCTTGGGATTGTGAGGTTTTTTTTTTTTTAAGATTTTATTTATTCATCTGAGACACAGAGATACATACAGAGAAAGAGAGCGCCTGAGCAGGGGGAGCGGCAGAGAGAGAGGGAGAAGCAGGCTCCCCGCTGAGTCAGGAGCCCAATGTGGGGCTCGATTCCAGGACCCTGGGATCATGACCTGAGCAGAAAGCAGACCCTTAGCCATCTCAGCCACCCAGGCACCCCAGGGTTGTGAGTTTGAGCCCCACGTGTGGCATAGAGATTGCTTAAAAAAAGAAAAGAAAAGGACAGAGAAAAGAAAAGAAAAAAGATGGAGCTGATTGTTTAGTGTGCTTGGCCACACTGAGAGATGTTTCACAAAAACCTTAGTTTTCTGTCAGAAAGCTTGGGGGTGATGAAGCAAACAAACTTGCCAAAAAAACTTAAAAAGTCCAGTTGGAGACTGCAGTTATAGATCTGTCAGCCAAATGAGCTTGCTACAACTAAACTCCAGAACCAGACAACTTACTCTCCCCATCACGGACGGATTGGGGAAATCATGCTCACTGCATGTTTATTCCCCAGAAAGAAGGACAGAGGTGAGCCAAGCTGACCAGTTATTTTTCCCAAATTTACCAACCAGGTAAATCACTCCCCCTCCCCAGGAATGGAGTGAGTTAACTAGAGCAAAGAGAAGCCAAAGGTTTGTTTAGAGAGGCTCTTTCTTTAAAAAAAATAGAATTAGGGAAAAACATTCATCTTCAGACATTATGCAAGTCCCTTAACCTCTTTTGTGCTCTACTTCCTAAGCTGTAATTTATTTTTCAAGTATATGTAAAAATAAAATGTCTGAAATGTTTCAAAAATTAATATATACCCTATAAATAGTTAATAACAGTTAATATTTAATGAACATCTAAGAGATGCCAGGCAGTGTTCTAAGCCCATTACGCGTACTAACTCAATTCCCAAAACAATATTATTATTACCCCTAATTTAAAGATATGGAAACTGAGTGCCCAAGCTTAAGTAACTTGTTTAAGGTCACATAGCGGTCAAGTGGAAGAATGTGATTTCAACTGCATTCTCAGTGATTCTGTTCAGTAAACTCTAAATCTGAGGGCACTGATGTTATTCCCATGGCGTGGAAATCAATAAAGGTTTTATAAATTGAATTTGGATGTTGCTGACTTTATATATGGCTTTGTCAACAGTGAGTTTGTTTTCTTTTAGGAATATTCTGGCTAATCTAATAGTCATCTCAGGACAGCTCCTTCAGGAAATCTTTCCCACCTTGCCCTTCCCACCATGGGTCTGGGTTAGGTGTGCCTCCTTCATGTCCTCTATTGTATGATATATGATATCATGTTAAATGAGGACTGTTTTTTTCTTTTTTTTTTTTTTAAAGATTTTATTTATT